ACAGGATACTGGGGTAGATGGACCTTTGGTCTGACCCGGTACGGCCTTTCTTATGTTCTTATGTTTCATGTGCATTTAAGGGGGGGGACGTGTGTGTGTAGAGAGAGAGTAAGTATCTAATATCTGGGCTATTCGATACTTTTGGAGGACTGCTTTGATGATCTTTGGTGGAGTTTAGGAGAGCTAGTTCTCCCAACTTTCTTTGCCATCTTGCAAAAGCTTGTACTGGATTCTGCTCTTTTGTTCCTTGCTCAAGTGAATCTAAATATATAGGTAGGCTAAGAGGGGAAAGATGGCTCTTAGCATAGTGCAAGTTTACTTCAGAAGGTCATAAGCAATAGGTCAAATCAACATATGTTTTCCCAAAAGTGCTTTCTAACCCTTACTCTCTTAACTGTAAACTAAGCCTGTGAATGGCATGAGAATATAATATACTTTAGGGATTGACTCCACATGAAATTATTCAGAAACAGCTATTCCTGAATAACTCAGTGTGTGGACACTCTTATTCCAGAATAAGCAGGGCCAGCCTTAGGTAAAATGGCACCCTAGGCAAACTTGTATTATGGTGCCTCTTGCCCCTCTACACCCCCACCCACACACACACCATTCCCCATGGTCCCCGCTGCCTCCCTGGGGTCCCCACCCCCATATTGCTCCCAGGCCTCTCTGCCTTCCCCCCCCATTAGCCCAAGCTCCCTGCCACGGCCTTGCACACCCGGCCAATCCCACTCCTGGCCTCTTTACCACAGCACACACCCCCAACCATAGTTCCCTGGGCGGTTGCCCATGTCACCCACCTGTAAGGCTGGCCCTGAGTATAAGGGTGCCTTGTTCCTGTTTAGCTTAACCCAGAGCATTTTAAAATCTGCTGATGAAAAAATTATATAAGAACTAGTTAGTATTTATTTATGTATTTATTTTATTGTTCTGGCATAAGAGTGTCTATACATGGAGTTACTCTGGAACACATACTCCTGAATAAGTCCATGTATGCACAAGCCCATACTATTGTTCTACAGGCAATTCTGTAGTTGGAATTTTTCTGAGGTAAAATTTAAAAAAAAGACTTTAAAAAGAGGTTTTTTAAAAGTTCAGCACTGAAGAAAATGTACTTAAGGAAATGACAAATCTTTCAGGAGACAAACTGAAATCGAAGTTAAAGATGATGGTGAATGGAACACTTGCATGTAATTCCCTTTCATAAGCTTCACTGAGTATATGAAAGACTTGAGATACACATCTGGTAAAAGCAGGCATTCAAGCTGCAACATTAAATGTCTCTTTAAATTTCTAATTTTCAAGAAAGAAATTAAAAGTTGCTAGAGTTATAACTTTGGAACCGGAAAATGTGATAGTTGCATGAGAATTACCACATTAAGAAGTCCCGTATCTGTACTTTTAGCATAGCTTTCTGGTACTGAAATTTTTATTACTCTAAATAAAATGAAGAATTGAGGTCTTGGGTCTCCTTGACCATAAAAAGTATGATATGACAGATTAATAGTAAGACTGACCATACTAGCAGTAAGATTTTTACAAAAGAATGAAGAAAAGAAACTGATTTGAAGGAGTAAGAGTAGGTGAAGAATGTGAGTGGTAAATCTGTGTCACTATTTGACCATATTTAGTTTATTCTCACTACTTTGGCACCCCTATTTTTGACAGTCGCAAGGCAAAAGACTCTAAAATACAAGGAAAACGTTCCAATGCTAAAGCAATGAACCAGCACCTAAGTACATTGCTACAAAGTTTGGGGCTGATCGTACAGGCTCTTCTCATCTTTCACCAGCAGGAGCTTGAACCAGATGAGACATGGAATTGCTTGGTCTGGGGCAATATGAAGTGGGGAGGAGCATCAGCAGGACATGTTTTTAGGAGAAATAGGGGGAAGCATTTTCATTTGTACCTCCCCAGCCATTGGGCAGGCAGAGTTGGGAAGGATATCAGCAGGGAGGGAAAAAGTGGAGGGAGAACATGTTCTCCCTCCCCCAATCCTTGCCAACACTTACACATACGTTTTCTTTAGCATCCATCTCCAGCTGCCTCCCAAACATGAATAGGTCTAGCCTCAATACACCCCTGTGAGACAGGAAAGTATTATTAACCTTTTTGATTGATAGGGAAGCCAATGTATGGGAAGGATAACATGGCTTGCCCATGGTCACAAAAAGTTTGCGTCAGTGGTGGGATTAGAACCCAGATTTCTTGATTCTCAGCAGCACAGTCCTCTCTCATCTGTTCATCATGTATTATGCTATGTCTCAGTGCCAAATAATGTCATGAATAAATAAAGTAATATTCCATTTCTGGAAAAAGTTACCAAATATATATGAGTGAAAAATGCAACATAATATGAATGTATTCTTTGTTTTCAAAACATATCCCATAAAAAGCATTTACATGAAATAAACTCTTTTTACATAAGCTTAGTTGAAAACATTGTGCAGTTGCATTTTATCTTTATCTTATTTTAATCCAATAATTTGCTTGCATCTGTAAAATTCGTTTTAATTAGCTTCTTCGCATTACCATTACAATCCAAGAGGATGTGGTGTTTGTGAAAGATGTGTATGTGATAATAATCTGCTAGATGTGATTGTAACTGATTACTTTTTACTCTGATTTTCACAGACTGATGAGTGTAATAAAAGGACAACTTTCCCGTAAAAAGCCAGCCCATTTGAACTCTCAAACATGTTTGACAAGTAAACAGGACTCTTGATTTATAATAGGACACGTGGAAGTTATTGTGATTTGACTCTTAATGATAATGAAATGTTAGTGATTAATACACAGAGGGAGGATAGCCAGGTATCCCATTGAAAATAAGTGCAAACAGAAGAGGCCGCCCACACTATGACATGTGACACAGGGTTTATTGTCACTTAATCTAATTTGTTCAACAAATGTCAAATAAGAAAAGAGACCAAAACATTTTCATTTGAACCTCTGACTTGCTTCCCTGGAAAATCTCTGTATTTTCCATTAAAAAGTCTACACTTTGGATTGAATAAAACAGATTAATATACCACTAGTCTGGCAATCTATGTGTATGGATCACTTCTGCTAGTAATTGTTATTAAACTGGTTCAGTGCATTCTGCATAAACCTTTAAGTCTCTTGGTAGGGAGTCACACAGACCTATGTTTATTCTGAAGAACTTGTGAACTGCTGTAATTCATTTCAGATTGATGGTTTCAACATCTTTAAACCAATGTAGTACTTACGAGGAAAGGACAATCAAATGTAATTTTTTTTTTAAACCGACTGATGTGATTTAATGCTTATAGAATTTATCTGCCTAGTGGATCAGTAGCATAACACTATTTTAATTACACCAATCATACTTCACTGCATTCTCTCCTTCTGTGGCAGAGTCTTATCAGAGTAAAGGTCCATGAGATGTGTTGAGCTCTGCTGAGCATGACATTGGAAAGTTAGTTTTTTAAGTGCTGAGAAAGCAAACTTGCACTTGTGTTTCAAGGAGAAGTGATTCTTATTATTATAGACAGAATTAATGGGAAATACAAACTGCTAAGTGCATGTGTGGGTGTCAAGAAATCAACTGCAAAACTTTCTAAAACAAATGATAAGAGAGAAAGGAAAGGAGGAAGTGCTGAACCAGGTCAGGAACACTTTATTGAGGATAATTGTTGCCATTTGTTCATTATGGATCATGCTATGGGTAAGTGGGTTTTATTACCTTTATTTGCATTGTAACTAATTTCCTGGTAACCATGCTCAGTATTAGGCCGCCCATACTTAGCTACAGTGTCTTTTGAATATACAATGTAAATTTGTTCTAACTGCCTTTATCGATGCACCTACGAGGCAAAAGAGACAAATGAAAGAAGATCACTTAAGATATCCAAGAACCGACAGCTTTTCTATACTTGCTGTCATTATACTCTTAAATATCTAGGTGGTGGTACTGCATTGCAGCAATCACAAAGGGAAGAAAAGGCCTTTGGCTTCCCTAAGCTCTGTCCACTCATAAGCAGATCTCTTCATTTTAAAACTGAACAAACCTATAGAACAGAATAGTCTGAATCAAGAAATATTTTACTACTTAAAATGAAAACTACAGAGGGATTTTTTTTAATAGTTTGGAGATAGCAATAATTCACCTGAACAGGTCTTTTCCTTGCAGGAATGGGTGTTCTTGCACAAAATGGGAAAGGAGAGGTAATGTAAGGTAGTAACCAGGAAGATTTAGTTTAGGGTTTGTGATTTTGATTCAAAACTCATCTGTAAGTGACTGGAGAGAGAATAAACTGAGAAAAATAGGATTAATCAATGTGGTGTCATCCATCAAAGTCAAAACTGGGACAGATTCTGCACTGACTTGCATCCAATGTACCTTCACTGAGAACGGTGAAGTTACTCCATATTTGCATTGCTGTAATTTACACGAATTTGGCCTAATGTGTCTGCAAGGGCATAATTCAGCACAGGCTTCTGCCAATATGTCTTTAGAAAAGTTCTGATGCTATTTCCACAATCATCAAAACTGCAGTAGTGTATTGAAGAAAGGAACAACTATTGGCCTAGAGATAGGGGATACAAACCATCCTTTGAAGTACAGTATATCAAATGAACGGAGGGCCTGGTTTTGATTTCATACCAGTTTTAGTGTAAGTGCTGTTAACTCCAAATGTAGTTGTCTTGAGTTACATCAATGTAAATGAGATCAGAAACAGGCTCAGATTGTCTTGAGGTCTCTTACTTTATTTTACACTCCTCTGTTAGTTGTTTTCCTGTTACACTTCCCTCTTTCTTCCCCATCAGCATCCAAGTGACACTCATTTTGAACAAAAACTGAAGGAAAACTGATCACTCCTCAGCCCCTGATCTAGCAGGTTTGTACTCAAAGCATCTGGGAAGACACCTCATAGGAGCAGTCAAGGAGAATCCTTGTGTAGCACAAAGCTAGCACAGTGCTCTGCTCTCTCTCTTCCTCTAGATGACTTCTTTCTGTTTCTGAGTATCTGCTTCTGGAAAATGTGATTGCTATTCAGATAATCTTTTCAGCTGTATTCGCTGGAGCTGTTTGAAGTTGCCTTTCCTCTCACCTGATCAAAATGTAACTTAGAGTAACTGGAGGGTTCCCTCAGTGCCACCCACCAGTCAGGAGCTCCAGAAAAGTTACCTGAAAATGCTCTCTGATCGCCTTTCCCTGAAACTAATTATTCACTAGCAAATCTCTCCAGAAGCAGATGCTCAAAATTGGAAAGAGACCATCTACAAGGAGTAGAGGGATCCATGCAAAAAAGTTCTAAAGGAAACTCAGAGGAGGATGTGTTTAGGAGGAGCTTCAAAGAAGCTTTTGGCATTGTTCACAAAAGAATGGGTAGAGGATTTTCAACCAGTATGAACTGGTGAGTGTTTTTATGAATTATGTGCCATCTATTTGAATGGGGCAGTAAGAATGTTGGCAAGTAGTCAAAGCAGGGGACTGGTATCCTTGGATATTCTGATCTCACTTAAACAGTCATAAATCTGGTGTAATTTCCTTGACTTCATTAGGTTTAATCCAGACAAACAAACAGTGCAAATTGTATCAAGCTAGTACTTTATCTATGCCCACACTATTATTTTCCCTTCCATCCACTTGCCAAGTAAATTACACTAATTTTTCACGCCCATGGAATGTATTTGTCTATCACAAAGAGGTTATACAGTGCACCCTTTCCAGATAAGTCTTTCTTTATCTAAGGATCTTGTTATTAATATTTTATTATTTATGTATATTATAGTAGCATCAGGAGCCCAGTCATGGACCAAGACTCCATTGTGCTATTCATTGTACAGACACAGACCAAAAAGAGTTCCTGCCCCAGAGAGTTTACAGTCTAAAACAAGACAACAGATGGATACAGATAGGCAGATTGGGGAGTACAAGGAAACAATGAGACAGTACTGGCCAGCATGATAAGCACTGGTCACACAAACCAGCTGTCTAAGTGTTGTCATGTTTCTTTGTAGGCATCACAGCCAAGGAGGGTTTTGAAGGAGGACAATGCATTAGTTTTGCACATGTTTGAGGAGCTCCTCTCAAGTGTCAGGGGCAGCATGGAAGAATGCACAAAAACATTTAACAAGAGGGCAATGAAGACCAGCATCACTGTCAGAGTGAAGGCAGGAGTTGACCTCTCTATAGCATATGAGAGATGAAGGCTGGGAATAGGCCATTGAAGCACCTTGAAAGTAAAGACAAGTAATTTATGTTTGAGGCAATGGAGAAAGGGAAGCCAGTGTAGGACTGCAAAGGCAGGAGTGACGTGATCATAGAGATGAGCTAGGAAATTATCGTTCTAATGGAATTTTGAATGGGTATGAGCAGGGCAAGATGGGATTAGTCAAGCCAGAGAAGAGATTTTGAGAAGGTGGCTGAGAGTTCTAGCTGTGTGAGTGGAGAGGAAAGGTCATATCTTAGAGATGTTACGCAGAAATAATCAGCAAGATTTAGACATGGCCTGGATGTGAAGATCTAGAGAGAGAGGGCAGAGTCGAGGATAACACTCAGCTTATGGGCCTGAATGATGGAGAGTATGGTGGTGTTGTCTACATTGACACAGGAGGGAGTGGGAAGACTTGGGAGGAAAGATTAAGAGTTCTGTTTTGGTGATGTTGAATTTAAACGGACAGGTGGACATCCACAAGGTGATGTAAGAGGTACAGGCTGAGATTTTAGTTTAGACAGAAGGAAACAAGACCAGAAAAGAGAGGTAGATTTGAGAGTCATCAGCATAGAGATGATAGCTGACTTTGTGGTTTTGAATGAGATTACTCAGAGACAAGGTGTAGAGCAGGGGTTCTCAAACTGGGGGTCGGGACCCCTCAGGAGGTTATTAGTTGGGGGTCGCAAGCTGTCAGCCTCCACTCCAAACCCCGCTTTGCATCCAGCATTTATTATGGTGTTAAATATATTTTAAAGTGTTTTAATTTATAAGGGGGGTCATACTCAGAGGCTTGCTATGTGAAAGGGGTCACCAATACAAAAGTTTGAGAACCGCTCGCGTAGAGGAAGAAGAGGAAGGTTCCAAAGACAGAGCCATGTAGAACGCCCACCGCGTTCTAGGAAGGAATTGAAGGAGCTGAATTCCAGACAGTGATTGTAGGCATTGTGTGTGACATTCCCCTGGTGTTATCTGGACCGGTGATCTGCTAGGTGACTCCAATCCTTGACTCTGGGAGTCAGCCTTACCCTGCTCTGCTGTGAGAATCCCCACTCCTGGGCTGTTCACGCACAGCCTCTAGCATTTAAGCTGCTCCCAGCTATGTGAGTGAGCACTTTTGGTCAGCCATTGCTTGGATTGTGCAACCGAATGACACTAGCCAATATCTCCAGTCCCAGACACAACCCTAGGAACCTCAGTCTTGCAGTGTCCAGTTATGCCTGCTGGATGCTGCAAGCTTGTATGAGTTCATCAATTTAACAAAGAAATTGATATGTACCAGGCTTATTATCCCAAGGGGAGTCTCTGACAGGCTTCAAACCAAACGCACTGCTTCAGGAAAAATAAACAAACACCTGTATTAACTATAAAAGATAGATTTTAAGTGATTATAAGTCAAAGCACAAGAAGTCAGATTTGGTCAAATGAAATAAAAGCAAGACACATTCCAAGCTGATCTTAACACTTTCAATGCCCTTACAAACTTAGAGGCTTCTCACCGCAGGCTGGCTGGTCGCCCTTCAGCCAGGCTCTCCCCTCTGATCAGTGCTTCAGTCACTTGGTGCAGTGTCTGGAGATGGAGGTGGAAGAGAGAGAGCACAGCAAATGTCTTTCCCTTTTATCATGTTCTTTCTTCCCTCTTGGCTTTACCCCCCCTTCAGAGTCAGGTGAGCATTACCTCATTGTAGTCCCAAACCAACCAAGGGAAGGGGCGTGACTCACTCGAGAGTCCAACAGATCCTTTGTTGCTGCCTAGGCCAGTGTCCTTTGTTCCTGTGAGGGTGGGCTGGGTTTGTCCCATTCATGCCCTGATGAGGTGTGAACTGCCCCTTCTGCTCCTGGAGAGTTTTGCCTGGGCTTGTTTTAAGCCATGAGGACACATTTTCAGCTTCTATAACAACAATGCTCAGTGTATCATGAGCCTTCTGAAGACACCCAACATGACAAACTTTGCATTGGATACCACACAATCATATTATAAGGATGAAGTTGGGGGTGCAGGGTGTTCCCCCGAGGCACAGAGTGTCACAGCATGTTCAATGCATTTAGCAATAATGGGGAGAAGAGAGATGGGGCGGAAGTTGGAGAGGCAAGTGGAGTCAAGGGTGGGCTTTTTAAGATGAGAGATTAGAGCATGCTTGTATTGTGCGGGCAAAGAACCAGAGGAGAGCGAGAAATAAAGGAGAGGTCATACATCGCCTACTTTATGGCACTCTCCCCTCTTTATAGCTGTATATTGAAAGTTTGCTTCAAAATCTTGAAGTCATTTATCTTTACCAGCCATTCTAAAAGGAGTCCAGGTAAAAATACCAGTAGTGGGCTAGGTCCACTTTGAGAAGTCATCCTGTAGATTGCCACTTAGCTAGTCTAAGGAGACAAATGTGTCTAATAGAAATGAAAGAATGAGGCATGGACTATTTATGACCAAAATATAAGTGGTCCACAATCCTGAACTACAGGAGGAGACTGGATTAAAAACAAGACTGTCAGGGAAAGAGTCACTATT